TGTCATACGAGCGATTCATTTGTTGTTTTAATTTTCATGCATACACTTAAGCACTAATTTTGGTTTCAATTTGTAACATAATTTTAATTAAAAACATTCTTATTTAATTTGTGAATTTTTAAATATTTGTTCTCAATTCATTTGTTATTTTTTTCTTCCATTTCCATTTTCTTTGTCATTTTATTTTGAGGAGGGGTTTTGTATTGAGTGTGCGTTTGATAGCTGTGTTTGTCTTATTGTCGTGTCCTTTTTACAACTGGAGTATTAACATGTGGTATGCAAGGGATTTATTTTTTTATACTGATTTCTAAAATTGCGTTTCGTCAAGTCCTTAACAAGAACTCTTTGCTATGCAACTCTCTTAGTATAAGAGAGAGAGAGAGTATATAAATTAAAATATATAAAATTTGTGAAATGAGTAGCTAACACAAAGAGCAATTTGAAATGACTCCACTTTTCGCCAGCTTTGAATTTCACTTGAGATCTTTAAATAGTAGAGGCTCTCCATTAGGGTATGAACACCGGTAAAGTCTGTGTTGTGGACGTTGGCAATTTTTTTTTATTCTGTGAATTATAGACGTTATATTCACTTTATAGTGTTACCTAGTGTAAATTATAGTTTACATCTATAAAATGGTATCTCCTAGTGCTACAAAATGCTTTTTTTTTTTTTTCAAAATTACAGGAAAACCCTAGAAGATTATGAAAGTAGAGTAAGAACTAATGTTTCGGCTTTGGAAAGTGTACATCGCAAAGTAGCCTAACTAGTGGGGGCAAACTTTTTGAAATTTTCAGATAAAGATTCCTTAGATTCCATTATATACCTATTTATAATTCTATAGACCTATATAGGTTCTCTACCAATGTTTATAGAGTATAGGGAATATTTTGACCGACAATTTTGACCTTCATCAAAGAGGTCTTTTTGGCCCTTTTTATAAAATGTAGTTAAAAAACTTCCTTTAATAAAGATCAATCAATTAAATCAAAATATTCTACAAAACTATTTGTCATAAAATTCTGAGAAGTAGGTCCGAGAAGTCACAAAATCATACCTGAACGACAGGAATCTGTATATATTAAAGACAATAATGAAAGGTCAAAAGTCGGTCGGAGGCGAATATATTTTGCAATATCCAACTGTACATATTTAGTACAGATACCCTTAGCAAATAAACGTTTATATTCGGAGTAGATCATACCAACTATGAACCTTTTTTAAATGCGTATTATCGCTTTAGATTTGTTATAATTTAGAATCAGAGGGAATAAATATATGGGAGGTATATCCAACTCTGAATCGATATGCACCTCTCGTACAAAATAATATTGCTATAGAGTGCATCATACCAGGGTAAGTGCGCCTAAGCTCGGCATGTCCCAGTAGTCGGCAGTTTTGAAATTTAAACTTAAATAACTAAAAATAGAATTGACCAAATAATGAAATAATGGCTTAAAAAAAACGTCAACAGTGTTCCCTGTTCTCTTTCTGTAAAAAAACAATGAGCTCCGATCATTTATTACGAGAGAATAACGGTTTTCGTCAGTTAGTGTCTTCCAACGCGTAGAATAGTGCTTGTTTGTAAAGAAAAAATTAGTGGTGGCGTCAACCTAAAAATCGATTTAAGTAATTTTGGAATCAGAAATTTTTTAATAGTAAATAGCAGTCTAAAGATAGTTTTGTAACTTAAAAAACGTAAAAATCAAATTATTTAATGCCGACAGTAGGAACAGAAAAAAAAGATATTTGTCAGTAGTCGGCAGGGGGTGCCGTTTACTACAAAAATCTCATTTTTGACCAATTTCACCAAAACTTGAGAAAAGTATTAAAAAATAATCCAAAAACTACTCAAATAAAAAAATTGTTTTAAGGCGGCGGTTGCTTTTATTTGTGCCTGTTGACAAACTTTTTTAAATTAAGTAGGGTTTTTAAATTAGCTACTTAACGCTTTAGATAGCTGTGGCATTTTTTGAAAAAAAAATGTCGGCTATCTAAAGGAAAGAGATCAATTCACCAATTCCAAATATAAGAAAGGTACTTTTTTTATTTAATCTCATTTTATTTTAATTGAAAATCCATACGTTACTGAAGGTAAACATACTATTCTTGATTTTCTACCTATATTTGGTTTAAAATGACAATTAAATAAAACACTATTTAAAAATTAAATTAATTTCAAATTCTGGATTAACTATTACTACTATTTCACTATTAACTATTTAACTATTAACTATTTAATATTTGATATTAAAATATATACAAAATAATATTTTTTTTTACTGAAATACCATATGCCGACTACTGGCAAATAGACATGCCGAGCATTGGAAAATGCCGCCGACTACTGGCAAAAAACTACTATTTTAGTAAAATTGCAAATTTTGCCAATTTAATAAAAACCAATTCAATTTTTGTTTATTATTTCAAAAACTAAATAAAATTTGGAATCTGAACAACTTTATTTTTCTGCAATTGAAAGATTTCACTCAGAATGTTGAAAGATTGAAATACTGAAAGGCCTAAAAGTGCCGACTACTGGTACACTTACCATACTTTCAGAAGATTTAAAATTAAGAATATATATCGGAGCTATGGATATGCGGAAACCGAATTTCACCATACGTCATATTTGCTTCCGGGATAAATTCGGTTGGTTCCACACCATTTGTCCTGATATTAACCATTTGGTGCACAATTACCGTGAAAACGAATAAAGATATGTATCAGAGCTATATCCAAATATGAATCGATCTCGACAACATTTGAAAAAGATAGTGCATATTTTGTGATGGACGTAAACAAATCGGATAAAACATAGCTATAGCTATGTCTGAACTGATTTTCATCAAATTAGAAGTATTTGCTGAATTCGGTCGCATGTGCCGAAATCCATCAAATTTGAGGGAACATATTACCCAATTAAATTGAAATTGGACGAAGATATATATGGGAGCTATACCTAAATTTGGTTCGGTTATCACCAATTAGGTTCGTCTTAGCACCAAACAAATGATTTGTGGAAAATTTCATTTCAACCGTACAAAAATCGCGAATGATATTCTATGGAAAATCCTCATAGAATATCAACGTCTATCTTGGAGCCGTAATTATATCCTCCTCAATATGGATGCAGAGTGTATGTTTCATTTGATACGTGCCTCATCGAAATAACGGGTTTAGACCCTATGCCTCTTTTAACAAAATCCATTTCAGATCATTTGTCCGCCTGTGGGTTCGCACTATAACTCTGGAAGGGAGTATCTGATTATGTCCCAACTTGGTAGATCATAATATTATTATCAAACTTAGATCGTGTTCGGGGATGGGCAATACCGGCTCACTCCCTCTGATAAAAAAAGGAGTAAATAGACATTAAGTTCGGCCGGGCCGAACTTTAAATATCCTCCACCGTTAGGTGAAGAAAACATTTTTATACAAAAGTATCTGGATTCAAACGTGTTCTACCTTAAGATCGAAACTCCAATAAGATCGGTAGGAGAATGCAGTTAAAGTTTTCAAAAAGTAATATAGTAGCTTGAGCCGTTATATGGGGGCATACCAAAGCGGGAGCCTATATAGGAAATTTAAAACTACAAAGATTGTAATCAATTGCTAGTTATAAATACCAAAGTTGACATAATTTAGTGGGTAAATGTGACTAGGGTTTTCAATATAACGAATATCGGTGGGTATCGTTGCATGGAAACCGTTGACCAATGTCGATTATGTTTTGACACCGGTTGTTGATCCCATTATGAAGGACAAATACCAAATTTCAGAAATCTATTAGAAAGTGTGACTTAAATCGTCAAAATACCGAATATCCGGAGATACCGTTATATGAGCGCTATAGTATTCAATGTAGTAAGTGTTCAATGTTCTGCCACTGAAACTAGAATCCATTAAGAACTAGAATTACCAATTTTTAGACAAATTTCTGTTAAAATGTGATTATCCTTTCTCTTTCGGATTGTCCTTTCTCTTTCTGTTCAGTAAATTATTTTCTTGGAGAATTTCGACCTTTTGTGGGGAGGTACCAGAAGGAGTGGATCGATATTGCCCATCTCCGAACTGGATCTATGTTTGATAATAATATTACGATGTACCAAGTTTGGATCAAATCGCATACTCCCTTCGAGACTTATCGTGGCTACCAGCCCGCCAGACAGAAAGACGGACGGATGGACGGACGGACGGATGGACTCCAAATGACCTGAAACGGATTTGGTCTAAAGGGACCTAAGGTCTAAGACCGTTATTTCGATGAGACACATTTGGGCCGCATTAAATGGTAAACGGATAAGGTACAATGGAGAAAATAAGGCATATATAATAAGGTATTTCGTCCTTTGTCTCTTGCGAACATTTCAAAACTTTACAAATAGATGGACAAAATTAATGTTTCCTCAATACTATTGTTATAAGGTATCCCATAGCCACTCACCATACCATCATGTGCTTAGGTATCAAATAGTGATGTCTTACAAATAAATGATTTCTCTAAAAGCATTTCCATTAAATTTTAAGAGTAAACAAATAACACTCCTTTGCTTTCTATTTCCATTTCTGTGAGTTTTTTCCCCTAAGAGAGATGTATATTAATTAAATTCATGTTCTCAATTGGTAGTACTTTTTTAATTCCAAAAATGTAAAAATGACTTCGTTATGTTCTCTCTTTCTATCTCTCCCCACATTTGGGGTTTTTAGGCTATTTGCTCTATTTATAGTTTTGCAGGCGGTTTGTTTATACAGTTTCATAATAATCATTGGACTTTTGGTCTAATTTCCATTAATCATGTTTTATTTTCATGCTCTCTCTCTCTCTCTCTCTCACTTTCTCCTTCGCTGGCACTCCCTCTCCAGGATTGTTGTTTGTGAGTTGTGTGTTTTGAAGCTTTTTGTCGGTTTAGTTTTTCGTTCAATTGTTGTTAGTGATTTGTGTGGCTGGCAAAGCTTTTTCGATTTCTTACAAAATTTTCCCAAGAAGGACCTTTGCTTTTGGCCGAGTGTTGGCTGAAGCTTTATAACGTTAACATACGTTGCGGTAACAGTTTGGTTGTAAACGCGCACGTTTCACCTTCTTTTGGCAACCAATATCCTGAACAATATTTGCAGTTTTTCACAGAAAGCAAAAGAAGAAAGAAAAAACAAAGAACCTCAAAACCCTAAAAAATGTGAACTAATTTTTGAAAAACAAAAAATAAAATGAAGAAAAAATTCTTGCAAAATTTCTTTGTGAAGTGAAGTTCTGAAGAAACGTAAAAGAAAACAAATCAATATGCATAAATAGAAGAAAGAAAAAAAATGTAAGGAAATTTACCATAATAAGTCTTAAGCAAATCTTGAGTAAATTGTTGTTGGGGGAAAAAAGAAATTCCCCAATTTTTTTTTTATATAATCAAGTTATAAAAACAACAACAACAGCAGTTTTTTCTCTAAACGAGATATCGCCATATACATTGAATACACAAAGAAACAGCACAAAATTTCGATTGTTTTTATTAGTGGATGGATTTGTTTTGTAAGTGTGACTGTGTGTGTAAGTGTGCAGGAGCATCGCAGTGTTTGTGTATGTATGTGTATTTGTAAAAACTTACATTTGCCTATGGGGTGTGTATGTTTATGTACGGCATGGGCAAAAAGAAAAGCGAAAATAAAAGAAAAATCATGGAAAACTAGAAATAATCCGAGCAACCAAAAAAAAAAAATTATATCCTAACCAAGTGATCCACTTCGTCCTACTGAAACTGAAAAATACTGTCGCACGAACATCTAGCACTTGCCTCTATTTGTGTTTCTTCCTTTTTTCTCCTACTTACTTTGCTTCTTCCCGTTGTCCAACATTTCCTTTGGTTTGTCGTTTTCTTTTCTTTTTCCACAATTTTCCCATTTCATCCTGTGTGACTTGGTGTGTTTTTCTGGTTTCTTTCTTTGGTTTTTTTTGCTTTGATGCAAAGCAAACTAGAAGCGGCATCTGTGTTATACTGCTGTCGTCGTCGTCCTGGTTGGTGTTGTTGTTGTTGTAAGTGTCCTGTTTGAACCTTTTGTGGGTGTGTGCGTGTGTGAGTGTTTTTTTTTTCTCAATTCTGCATTTGTATCGGTGAGTAAGTTTGTGCACATTTAAATGAGCGCGCGTGTTCTTTTAATTTGGCCGATGTGCGTGTCTGCCGAATTGTTTGACGGCTGTGCGTGTAAAGTGGAAATACATTAGGGTTGACTGAAAATATTTTACAAAATAATTATTTCGGATCATGCCTTGGCAAAAAACTAAAAAAAATAAAAAAATATTAGTGTTGACCCAAACTCGACACTTCTATTATGGGAAAATCATTTATAATTCAGAATTAGTGAAAGAGAAAATGTGGACTACCATTATTTTGTTGTGGGGAAAAATCTTCAGAGTTGAAAAACTCATTTTAAATATTCAGAATATGGAATGAAAAGGCTTTGTGTGGGAAAAACCTATGACCATGTATTAAACTCCGACCAGAATGAGAAAAAAATGATATTTCTAATTGCAAGCGGTGCCATTTATTTTGGATTCAAATCGGCATATCCATTTTAAATTTTTAGCTTAATCTCAAAATGAAAGAAAAATAATCAGTATTATTGAAGGAGATTATTACCTACCCTGGAATGTATTAAAACTTTTTATCAGATTATATTAAAAGTCCCTCCCAAAATCAATTCATTTCAATTTTTGCAATGACAATTGTTTTTTTTTACAACAAATCTTATAAACCAACAAAAATTGCTCACTGAACCACAAAACCTAAATCTAAGCACAATCGCAGATATTCAATCTAGATATGCATTCAATATGCAATTTATATTGAACAGCTAACATCGTAGAGTTTTTTTTTGTCAATTTAAATATCATCAAAAATCCTTCCAGTGGTCGATCCCCGAAAAATTCAAGGTGTAATGATGTTTTTAACCTTAAGGCGCATCTCACTATCAATCTTGCTGCACAGGCAATGAAGCCATTCGTGTATTTGAAAGACAGTCTTCGATCCATATTATAATGTTTTAATTTTTCATCACCAAATGTATTTTAAATTTTAAAATTTTAAATTTTTATTTTGAAATTTTGCTATGGCGGGGTTTTTTGAAATTCGTACTAAAAGTGTGCGAAAAATACTCAAATGTACTAAAAAGTTAATACTTTGTATTGAACACACGGAATGAGTTAGAACTCTGAAATTTGGAAAAAGAGTCACTGATGGGGCGCAGGACAGATATACCAAAGGATTTTTGGAAAGTCGAACTTAAAGGTTCCGAAAATTTCTAAAATGGTACATAATTTTAAAATGGTACCAGTTGGGATTATGTGAACGTATAAGGCTAAAAAATTGAAATTTGTTCTGAGAATCAAGGTTTGAATGTATGTTTGATATATGAACATGGCTTGGGAAATGTGTCCTTAATTTGGAACTGTTGGAACTTGAAACTGGTATAGGGTGAACGGATGAAGCTGGAATTTTGAAACTTTGTATTGGGGTTACTGCTGGTGGTAGGATTCTAAAAAAGAGGTTGTTTTGGACATGTGTACTACAATTTCACGACAAGTACTAATAAGTATAATATCTGGTACAATTTGGTATTGGGTGAACATATAGTGCTGGCAGTTTATAATTTTCATTACAGTCGCTGTGCTGTGTGTAGCCTTGGCATATGGAGGTGGTTTTGGAAGGGTATATTATAATTGTAACATAAGTAGAAAAGAGTAAGAAATTTGGTAATGTTTAAAGGAATAGCGATAAAATTCTGAAATTTCATATACGGATCTGGATATTCGAGGTAATTTTTTGGTACCTGTGGCTGAGGCAATTTTGGAAATATATACTATGATTGCTCGAAAAGTACTAAGCGGTACTAATTTGGGTATTGGATGAAGTGATATTGAGGTCTGTCTTGGTATGTGGTGGCAGTTTTGGAAATGTGTACTAAATGTTACTAATTTCGGATCACTGTTGGTGTCTAGGATGGAAAGATGTATATTGTTTTGGAAAAGCGTTCAAAATGGTATTGGGTGAAGGGATATAGCTGGTATTCTGGTTTCTAGAGTTTACACACGGAGACATAGAAATATTTTAGTACACAAAATTTGTATGTGGGTCCATTGTGCAAGATTTTGAGAACTTTTAGTTATAAAAGGTAAATTTATAAAGGTAACATTTTTCTATTATTCTTTACGAAAAAGGGAAAACTTGATTGATATATAATACCTTGAAAATCTGAAAATTTAGTTCGGTGCATTTAGTAACATTTTAAGGTGGACTTTTCGCTGACGAAGCAGAGGGCACGTTCTAGTCAATTGCTAGTCAACATCGAAATTGAACTCCACTCATCACATTGGAAGGGTTTATTTTCAAAGTCAAAACTATTTTCACATCAATTAAAAAATAATCGTATAATCATTCTAAAATTATACACAAAATGTTCACATAAACAAGAAAAAAAGTATCGGTCGGTTTTGCCGACAGATGTATACCCTCAGCCAATGTTCGATTATTTAAAAATATTTTGACTTTTGTTATGAATTTTCACACTCTTGACCGTCTATGGAGTGGGTTTTGAAAGAATGGGTCAATATTGTCCATTTCATATCGGACCTAAATAAATATGATATAAATATTATAAACATAACATTTATATCCAATTTATGGGAAATCTAAAATTCCATAATCATCTCAGGATTCTGGTTGAGAGATTATTGTTTCCCTTTCTGCGCAAACAATATATATTTTTGAAAATTTCGACCATTTGCGGGGGAGGTACCAGACCTTGGGTCAATAGAAATATTGGGGAAATTTGAAGATAATCGGGCTCTTACATCACATTTTAAGAGAGTTGTAATTATTTAAAATGTTGACCCTGTGTGGGGAGGGTACCAGAAGGAGTGGACCAATATTGTTTATTTTCACACCTGACCTAGCACTAACGCAAATATTAGGATTTGCAAAGTTGGAGCAAAATCGGATTATCGTTTCTCTTTCTGTGCAAAAAATATATTTTTGAAAATTTCGACCGTTTGTGGGGGAGATACGAGAAGGAGTGAACCGATATGTTCCATCTTAACGCCAGACCTTGGGTTGATAAAAATATTGGGATGTGTGAACTTTGAAGACAATCGGACTCTTACATCACATTTTATGAGAGTTGTAATTACGCAAAATTTTGACCATTTGCCCGAGAGGGTATATATAATTTGATACTGACAACACGTACCTAATCGAAATAACAGTTTAGACTCTAGATCTCTTGGACCAAATTCGTTTCAGGACATTTGGAGTCGTTTAGCGATGTCCGTTTGTCTGGCTGGCTTGTGCGCAAGATAACTCGCGAAGGGATTATTAGATTTGGTCTACAAATCGTTATATTATTATGAAACTTAGAGATGGGCAATATCGGTCCACTCCCTCTGGTACCTCCCCCACAAAAGGTCGAACTTTCATCAAACGCGAAATTAACATCCAATTCCATTCACACTTGGTACATTTCAATATTTCCATTAACACAAAATCTTTTATAAGGATGGTAGAGATCGGACCATTTCTTCTGGTACGTCCTCCAATGGTTAATAATTCCGAAAAAAAACGTTCATAAAACGCAAAATAAGTATCCAACTTTCTTCAAATTTCACACATCCAAACATTTTTGCTCATCCACAAAAGGTCAGAATTTCCAATGCTTATATCTGTCATATACTTGCGAAACAAGTCTGCGATTCTTTACAACTTGCTATATCTAAATATTTCTCTAAACCAGAAATCTGATTTGAATATGTAATATATCGGAATTCATGATTTTGTATAAAGTGTGATATAAATGCTCGATTTTCCTTAAATTTTCCACATACCTATAATTATGGCTGTAAAAGATGAAGTGGAATATTTTGGTCCGATATATCGGGTACCTCACGCATATTTTCACATTTTCCAAAAATTCAGGAAGTAGACGATATAGTTCAAATATGGCACGTTGTAATATTTATATAAGACTTAGGCCAGATATGAATTGGACAATATTATCCAACTGTTTCGGAGCCTCCCCCACAAAGGGTCAACAGTTTGAATAATCATAACCCAAATCTGGGAATATACATCTATCGGCAAAACGGACTGATACTATTTAACTTGTTTTATATACATTTTTCGGCGGATTTTTTCATCCCAGCCAAACTTGGCTGCAATGTATCCTTTCTCATTTTCGAAAATAATGAAAAAAAAAAAAAACGCACCAAACTGTTACTCGTTTTGGGTGCATCGGATTGTCAATGTATTTCTGTGCCTAAATGCGATAA